AATTCCTCAGCTGGCATAACTGGGAGTTGAAGTCCACAAGTCTTAAAGTTGCCAAGCTTGGACACCCCTGTTTGAGATACTTAGGAATCTTAGTACAGAGAAAAAGTTGAACACAGTGGTGGGTCAACCACTTCAAAACCTGGTCCTGACAATCTAAAATCTGGTCCTTTTTTAACATATCTCATGTGTATTGCACATTCATAAAAGGAGTGGACCTTGGATTATCTGGACACATCTGCCTTTTGGGGAATGTTATTACCCATCATGGATGTACCTGCTTGGGAATGGGGTGGGATCAAACCAAATCAAAGCAGGATTACGAGTATAACAGGCCACAAAATGTGATTTCTTTTGTTATAACTTAGTACAGTTCAAAGCCTGCAATTATGGTTTGTAAACAGTGATTAATGGCTTACTGTGATGTATGAAATTAGTCCATGAGATTAATGTTGAAAGGTAACACTCGAAAGAAACTGAAGATCCATAAAAGTACATCCTTTATGAAGAAAAGTCCCCTTTAGATGTACAAAGTATCTGTCCACACCTTCGCGTGTAAGGAAGGCTTCAACTCATGAAATGTAGAGATTTCCTGGAATCGGCAGGGAGCTTTCTATAACTTTCTGTTGGGACTATCCAACATTTTTAGATTTGTAAAAAAACATCCAGAATTCTTCCCTTCAGATAAAAAGGATTGTAGGTAAATACCATCAATACCTCAAATGCCTAACGGCAACAATTTTCTATTTATTTCTTTTTTAATATCCTGGGGTTTTTTTTCATAAGAAAATCAAGGAAATGTATATTGTGAGATTGCAGTTCCAACATGTGATCATTTGGGGAAATCCGGTATAATGCTCTATAACATTTTCTGACCATGATAATGTATATTAAACCATTTGTCAGTGATCAGCCACTAACATCCCTTCACACAACTATTCAAAGTATTTTATGGTGAAGTTATGTCAACTTGAAAAACTAGTTCCACTGTTTCTGTGGGAAAAGATATTGAATTTGGTGCTCTGGTCCCTTTAAACTGATGGGTGATATTATCAAAGTTGCAGTCATAACCACCTGGCCATCACAGGTTTTACAAATTTATATTATTTGAGAATTGCAAAATTGCTTATGTTGAACATAAAAAATCAGCTATCAGGACCTAAGGACCAAAATATCTTGTGTGTATGTCTTTGAGTTATTTTTTTTTTAACTCCTGGCACCTGCCTGAACTAGATCCTGTAGTTTTCTTGGCAACATTTCAGAAGTGGTTTGCCACTGCCGTCTTCTTAAAGCTGAGTGAAAATGACTGTTATCAACTTTTCATCTTCCAGTTTCTACTAAACAGGTTTTTGAGGGGAAAAGAAAACCTAATAAAGAATTATCGGTATGATAAATTCTGGAAGTTATTCTCAGGAATGGTGAAAGGAGTCAGATAACATAAACTTCTAGAAGAGGAGAATTACAGTCGTGGTCTACAAATATCTAAAAAGCTGTTCTGTTCTCTTTAGAAGGCAAGGCAAGTCATGGGCTGATAAACTGTCACATAAACAAAGGAGAATCAGATTGAAGATGAGCAGGCATTTCTTGGTGACAAGAGCTGATACATGGAAGAGTTTGCCTAGAAGAATGATGGAGTCTCTTTACTGAAGCTTTTGAGAGAAGAGTTGAATGGCCACCTGCATGGATGGTTTAATTTAAGACAATAAGTAGGTTCCCTAAAACAGGGGTGTCAAACTCGCGGCCAGTGGGCTGGATGCGTCACACAAGCCCACCCCTGGTTTAGCGAAAGGAGGAAAAGTTGTGATCACATGATGACAACATGACGCCATGAGTTTGACACGGGTGAAATCCAAATTTTTTCCCTACCAGTTCTGTGGGCGTTGCATGGATATTGCAAAATATCCATTCCCACCCCACTCCAGGGGAAGGATACTGCAAAATATCCATTCCCTTCCCTCCTGGGGGAAGGATATTGCAAAATATCCATTCCCACCTCACTCTGGGGCCAGCCAGAAGTGGTATTTGCTGGTTCTCCGAACTACTCAAAATTTCCGCTACCAGTTCTCCAGAACCTGTTAGATCCTGCTGGATTTCACCCCTGGTTTGACACCCCTGCCCTAACAGGTCCCTTCTAGTTAATGCATTCTATGATTCTACAAGTATCTTGGAGTAATTAAATAAAATCAGTAATAACAAAACACAATACTCTTTTAGGGCATTTGGAACCTGCAAGGGCCATCCACTATTCATAAACTATAATCCTTTTTTAAAAGTTTCACCTGAGTACCTATTTATACAAAACTAAAAGACATGCCAACCAAAATAAATACCAGCTGCATAGCAGTTTCTCTTTCACTGAATACAACAAATTTATTCCTTTTCACAGTAATGGGGCAAATGTTGAAGCTGGTAGATATTTCACACACCTTATGTGATCTAGTGAGAACCATAGATTTTTTTTTTTTTTGATTTCCCAGAATTTCAGTCAGATTTTTTTTTTGTTTGAAGTCCTTCAAAATGTGTTTGACTGCAACGGTTATTCCTAACAACAGTCATCCACAAAAGAAGAGTGAGAACAACTTGTGCTGTTGACCCCAGATTGAAATTGGGCAGACACAAAGTTTTCATGGATGGAACTAAAATGGGTCTGCTAATACCAGCAGTTCAAATCATTAAATTATATGTAATTGTTCCTTTCCCATCCTGACACCATTCAGGTGTGTGTCTGTTAGTTAAATGTATTCCATGGCATGCAGAAAGTAGTAAGTTGCTGAAGACTGATCACACTGAATTATTGTCCACCTGTCCATAAGAAGATGTTATGTCACATATTTCTTTTACAAAGTTTTACATGACTTCCACTTCCCCTATGTCTCAAGTGGGGGACGAAATTTCTCTATTTTTATGCAGTGCGTATCCTGTCTGCTGTTTTGACCTTTACTGACCTCCAGTATGAAAGTAGGTCATTTAGAATTACCTGTTTTGGGAAGTTGCCAGTCCTTTATAAAGATCCATTTTTGGCTTAAACATTCTGTCTCTGAATCCTGATATGTGTTTTCATGTGTTTAAAAGGATGTCCACATCCTGTGCTTGTTATAAAATACAAAAGAAAGAATGTGGTGCATTTTGCACATTAAGGAAAGTATTTAATTAAGGAAAATATTTAATGTCTTGACAACAATACAGTTCATGTCTTCAGTGGGTATGTATGTATGAGTACATAGTAATGTAAGACTTTAGAGTATTTAACACATCGATTTAAGCAGTTACTGTTTGCAGATTGCAAAAACAGTCTTTTATGTACACTTATAAATTAGAATGTATTCTGTAGGCTAGAAGCAGGGGTGAAATGCTCCCGGTTTGGACCGGATCACCCGATCCAGTAGCGATGGAGGTAGGTGGTTTGGAGAACTGATAGCAAAAATTCGTGCCCCCCCCCCCATGCCCAGCTGAGCCGTGCAATCATCAGAGGCTTTTTTTTTTAGTTTTTAAAAGCATTTTTTCTACAACCTCTTCGGCCGAAAAAATGCTTTTAAAAGTAAAAAAAAAAGCCTCTGATGATCGCGTGGCTCAGCTGGGATCGTCAAAAGCTTTTAAAAGCATTTCTGAAGAGGTTGTAGAAAAACTGCTTTTAAGAGCGTCTGACGATCCAAGCTGAGTTGCCTGATTGGCAGAGGCTTTTTTTCTTTTAAATGCCTCCGACGATCCAAGCTGAGTTGCCTGATTGGCAGAGGCTTTTAAAAAAAAAAAATTGTCAGAACCTTTTGAAAGCATTTTTTTTACAATCTACAAGGTTGTAGAAAAAATGGTTTTAAAAGTTAAAAAAAAAAAATGGCCATGCCCACCCAGTCACATTACCACCACCACCCCACTAAGCCACGCCCACAGAACCGGTAGTAACAAATTTTAGATTTCACCACTGGCTAGAAGGCAGGATATTAAAGGTGGAGGAGGAGGAGGAGGAAGATGATAACTAAGACACTGTCCTGGTAGATTTTGACTTATGACCATAATTTAGCCTAGCAATTGCAGTTGTAAGTCATGATGTTCATAAAGTGGGTCACCATGTGATTGAACCTGATTTTATTATCTTTTTGTGGAGGTCATTAATTAAACACAGTACCTAGAAAGTATATTTGTTGTTCACTGTGGGTTAGTTTTTGCTGGAAATTGGAAGTAAACACTGGTTTCTGGCAAAACTGGCAGAAATCACAATCGCATGATAGCAGGGTGCTGCAAACAGTCATGAATGCAGGCTTGTTGCCGAGCACCCAAAATACAGTGACATCGTTGGGGGGGGGAATGATATCAGAACTTCAGAACTCGGTCATAAGTATCTTTTTGTGGATCCATTATAATTTTGAACAGTCACTAAGCGACCAATCATAAGTTGAGCACTACCTGTATAACCATCATGATAATAGCAATAGCACTTAAACACCGCTTCATAGTGCTTTACAGCCCTCTCTAAGCAGTTTACAGAGTCAGTTTATCACCCCCAACTATCTGGGTCCTCCTTGAGTCAGCCTTGAGCCAGTCAGGATAGAAGAAATCGAACTTCTGGCGGTGAGCACCGAGTTAGCCCTGCAGTACTGCATTCTAACACTGTGCCACCACGGCTCGTATAATAATTTACTAATATAATTGTACATTCCCTTTCTAGGAAGTTCCTCAATGTCTTCTTTCAGATGGCAGATTTTGTGCTATGCTTTCATGACACTGAGTTATAAACATTTCCCAATAAGTAGATTCACTAGGAAGATAAGTACTTTAAAGACATTAAAATACAATGGCAAATGTTAACATTTTAGTTGTTGATGATGTTGGGGGTAAAAAGATAAAGATGTCAAAAGTCATGCTCAGCTTTTTGCCAGTTCAATTTATGGCCTTTCTTGGTAATAGTATGAAAGTGAAATTGCCTTATTTCAGCATGTTGTAGTATGTATTCTAATATAATAAATGGTGTAATCTGGTAGTAATTCTTACCATTTTCTTTCAAACAGGCAACTTCAAAAAATAGTGCATGATATCAAGAAAAATGATAGTGGAATAATGAGCAAGTTCAAAAAGTAAGTTATGTAAATGAGCAATCCACAGAATGGAATTATTACTCTTTGATTTTGATGCTTATTTTCCATAATTATGTCAAATGTATCTATATACCTGGTTATTCTTTTTATGTTCAATTGGGCTTACCTCCAGAACATTTCTGGTTAGTGTAATCTGTACATCAAATGCAAAAGATTTTTCTTGATGTTCTTGTCTTATCCAACCAACTGTTTAGAATCTGTCTTAATAAAATGTATATAAGCTTACAACATCTTAACCAGCTGTATTGTCACCAAGAATTAGGAAGCCATTTTTTAATATAGAAAAAGGTATGCATATATAAGGTCATCACCCTTGTTAGAGAAATCTCAGCTAGGTGGTGGAACTTTCACACATTGCTAGCATCCCTTATGGTGGGTGAAGCTGGCAATTGTAATTCAGTAACATCTGGAGGACATAAATCTACACCATAGGTTTAATATATAGCCTCCATGGGAATGACAGAGAATGGGGTAAAGGCAAATGTTCTCTCACCTCTAACTGAAAAACCGTAACCTAGAAACCTGTCAGACCTGGAAGCCATCTTTTGAAAACCTAGAGCTGAAGAAGCTTCTTGGATGAGAAGCGTCAGAGAAAAAACAGAAAGTCTAGTTGCCTCTTGAAAAAGCACCTTTGGGACAACCATGACGAGGATGACTGAGAATCTCCATTGACGCAACCAAAAACATTTTAACCAGTTAATTTCTGTGACTATTCCTTTCTGATCTTGTCATATTCAGATTTCATACCCCCTGGAATGAAACAGCTGCCATAGTAGTTAGATGCCAGATTCAAGAACACCGTGAGGATTATAAGTGGATGTATTAAAACTATTCAAACTTGCTGGCTTCCTGTTCTGAGCCACATAGCACTGCCAGCTTTACGAAGGCAAGATAGTGAGAGAATGCAGAAACATTATGAATAACTCATTCCTACCGGTGCATGCTGAGCTTCCTCATTTATCAGCAGAAAGGCTCAAATCCAGAAAGCCCCCACTGGCATTGCACAACTTCTGCCCAACAATTTTAACATCGATTCCCAATGGAGAGCCAAATGGGTTGCTGAATGCTGAAGATATATAAAAGACCCCACAAAAAAGGTGCCAGGCTTTGAACTACCACATCAGCAATCAGGAGCTCAGGAACTCCTTTTACACTGGCAGAGGGTTGCAGGAGGACGTGGCAGCCAAAAATGGAGCTCGAGAGCCCATTTTCGCTGGCAAAGTGCTCTGGCCACCACAGGTGCCCCCAACCCGAGTGACGTCAAACTGGCCACGCCCATCCTGGCCACGCCTATCCCGGCCCCATGAGGTCAAACACAACCCTGATGTGCCCCTCAATGAAATCGAGTTTGACACCTCTGGCCTAGACACTTAATATTTGAACATAGATTTTGTTTAACATTTATATTTTATTGGTTGTTTATTCTAGTAATCTAGATGAAATGTGAACATATATTGCTAGTCTATGCACTAAATGAATGAATAAATTCGTACCCCCTAGTTCGGATGGATAAAAAGGCTGTGCTATACAGAAAATAGCTGCTTCTATCTTCAGTGGCTTCCAGTGTGAACAGTCTGAGTCATCAGAGTGAGTCACAAGGGTCTGCAGCTAGCTATAATGTGACTAGAATGATGAAAGAGCCTTGGTAGTACAGTGGTTTAAAGCACCCTGTTATTAACACAGCTGCCTGCAATTACTGCAGGTTCGAATCTTACCAGGCTCAAGGTTGACTCAGCCTTCCATCCTTTCTAAGGTAGGTTAAATGAGGAGCCAGTTTGTGGGGGCAATAAGCTGACTTTGTATAAATATACAAAAGTATGAAGGCTATTGCTTAACGCATTGTAAGCCTCCCTGAGTCTCCGGAGAAGGGTGGCATATAAATCAAATTAAAAAAAAAAAGAAATATAAGTACTGACCTTTTTTGTGTGTCATGATATTGCTGGAAAATGTATAGATGTAGCTTCACTGTTTACGTTTCATCGCCTCCCTATAGATCAGTGTTTCTCAACTTTGGTAGCTTGAAGATGGGTAGACTTCAACTCTCAGAATCCCCCAGCCAGCACTGCTGGCTGGGGGATTCTGGGAGTTGAAGTCCATTCATCTTCAAGCTACCAAGGTTAAGAAACATTGCTATAGATGCTCACATTCTGAGCAAAACGTGACCATCTTTTCAGATGATATCTCTAAACGCATTCCTCTCTTTTTCCCTCAATAAGAATGGCTGGTATTCACAGCAAATCTTTCCCCCCCTGCTTTAAAGGGCAATGTGGAAAATAACAAAGTGCACCTACTATGGGTGTAGCATTAGTGACCTGACCTGTGCAAACCAGGAAATCACCAGGGATACAAGCTGCAACTTGCAGAGACCTTCATTCACCCGTTAAGCCATAAAGCCGTCTGTTTATGTGGAATCAGCAAATTGTTTGAACCAATTTAGTTCTGCCTTATTTAGTCATTCATGGTTAAACAAACTAGGATTGAACACGAATCCAGCCCATCTCTACAAGGCAACCTACATCGAGGGGAGCATTTCAGACCAGTGATTAGTCCGTTTTATAATGTTACGATATCCAGAATCTGCGTTTCTGTCTCAATTATTGCACAACGTTCTCTGAATGGATAAAGATTCAACACCTGCATTAAAATTGCTGCCTACCTCGTCTGGTAGCGCAACAGTCAACTTGTCTCCTTCTGTTGCAACCAGCATGATAAAACAAAACAAACACAATTGCTTTTCCTCCTTCAGAGATCTTACAGCAGTTTTTCTAGCAGCCATTTTCCACACCCACATCTGCTGTGTATACTTTTAAGTCTATATTTATCCTTGAAACAGTTGCCTAAATATAGATTATCTACAGAAAAATACTCCAGAACAAGAATCTTTCCTGATTAATTTGTATTTCTCTCCAGAAATTTCCTTTGCAAAACCCAAACCTGCCTCCCTCACCTGTGAAGGCCTCTGCTTCTCCTAGGCTCTAATTAGGGGACAATGGGGGGAGGGGGTCTCCTGTGTTCTATGCATTCTGCAGTCCTTCCTCTTCAGTCCATTGGATCGTAAGAACTCTCCCCTGCCTTCTGCAGCAATTGGACTTTTAAGAAATGCTTCTTACGATTCTGTGGCGCTTTGAATTTCACCCAAAAGGCTGCTTCAAGGTGCATTCCTGGGAAAGAGGCCTGCAACATTGTGTTTTGCACACTCTAAAGAACATTTGAGAAATGAAATGCTGCACAATCCTATTGTGTCTCTTGCAATTCAAGTGAAGTTTTTTTCTAAATCCAGCTGCCAAGCAGGAATGTTTCTATCTATCTGAAGATAGTGTTACTCAGCCCGCCGCCCCCCCAATGGTTTTTCCTGGCAGTTGATTAGGACTTGTTGTGAAATGTTTGTGTGTGAGCGATGTGCTATCTCTCTTGCCCATCTGTAACACGCAGTTGTTTGAGAGAGAAAAGGCACACTACTGCAGGAAAATCTGCAACTCTCAACCTAACCTCTGATTCTCAAAGAAGAGAAATCAGTTCAGCCATTTGATAAAGGTTCCCCTATTTTTCTGAGGTAGCAAACAAAGGACATCAAAGAGGAGCCAGAGATAGGGAAGATATCCTTACATTTGACTAGACATATCATGTGAGACTCAGTGGGATTATTTCTGAGAAAAGATTGTGCTTGACAGAAAAAAAAGATTCACCACCTCACATATTATGACCTTGAACAACAGATATAAACCATCACTACCCCAATAAAGTTGGGCATTCAAGGTATCGTTGCCTTGTGGGAAGATGTCAAAGGTCCCCTCAACCTCACAGATGGTTGTTGAAACCTATTTTTTGTTTCAACAGCTGATATGCAACAGCATATGAACTCTTCAAGGAAGGCTCCGTTGAATTATCCTGAGTTTTGCTGAAGTTCTGCAATTCTCTGTTTTGTTGTGGCTTTGATGCATAAGGTATTCTCAGGTTACTAGTTCAGGTGGCGGCTAAGCAGGTGCCTGTCATTTGTAAACAGAAAAAGAGAGTCTGTATTGACTCAAAACAGAGAAAAGAATGCCTGATTTAATATTGGAAACAAGAAGGCCCAGTCACATCAGGATAGGTCTTTTGCTAATGGGATTATTCTTGGGAGAAAAGGGTGGGTTGGGGAGGAGTTGACAAGTTTAAACCACTATCTTTTGCTTTCTGCAGCCAAGGACAAGATGTAGTAGCTTTCCTATTGCACAAAGCTGTACTTGATGTGTATTTCCCCCCCTAGGCAAAATGTAAGGACATCAAAGTCTTATTGATAATATGGCAATATTCTCAGACTTTAGAAGTTTGGCTGGTTAATGAACACGTTATTATTGTGTGTACCTCCCAGACCACCTTTGGTGAGATGGGCAGCTATATTGAAAAAGAAAGGAAGGAAGGAAGGAAGGAAGGAAGGAAGGAAGGAAGGAAGGAAGGAAGGAAGGAAGGAAGGAAGGAAGGAGCTGTATGACCAGCCTTCTCTCAACAGAATATCTCAAAGAACAGCAACTGGCACAGATAAGATATTGAGCCTTCAGGCAATGTATCAAAACAAACTACAATTCAATTTGACTTTTGAAAGAAAAGGAAGAAGAGAGAAGAAGGAAAATAGAGTTTTGCTGTGGCAACCAAGTGCCCCTTAAATCCTAAGAATGAATCGTCATTTCTTCACACATTTTGTGACTCTAGCAGCCTGTCAGGCTTTGAAAAGGCCCAGATAGTTTCCTTTGCCGAGCTAAGACAGAGAAATGGGGTGAAGCGTGTAAAGAGAGAGGAAGCGGCATCAAAAGGAAGGCCATAAATTGTAACAGAGTTGAACACAAAAAGGGAACTGGTGACATAAAATGGAATATTATAATAATAATAATAATAATAATAATAATAATAATAATAATAATAATAATAATAATAATAGCCTTTATTCTCTTTGCACATCATGTATACAACGAAATTGGTTGTTATCTGTGTCTAGAGAGTTCCTGAGAATACTGAAAATCTAACTCCAGTTGCACACGTCCTTGTGGACTTCAAATCCCAGAATTCTTAAAGTTGCCAAGGTTGGACACTCCTTCTCTAACTGAAGGCTAAGAGTCTCTCTCAGGGAGCTGGAAGTCATCCGACGTACAATGAGAGTTTTATAATAAGGCTTAGCCAGATGGATGTTATTCTTTGTATATAATCTCTTCCTGCCGCTTTATCCATTGCCATTGATACCAATGGCTCTTTTACTTATCTGTTGAGTTCTTAAAGAGCAAGCAACTGTTGAAGACCAAATCGAAACCAACTTTATTTTTCCTAATCAGATAGCAATGTTGTCCTTCATGGCAAAGGTCATGAAAGTTCAGGTAGTCCTTGACTTACAACTATCCATTTAACCAAGTGTTCAAAGTTATGATGGCCGCTGAAAAAAGTGACTTATCTGGGTTTCATGATTATCACATTGTCTCTGCAGTCATATGATCAAAATTCAATCTTTTGGCAACCGGCAGGGATTTATAATAGTTCATATGATTGTTATTTGTGACCTTCCAAACTGACTTCCAATAAGCAAAGTCAATGGAGGAAGCTGGATTCATTTAAAGATTGCATGCCTCATCTAATGACTGGTGATTCCCTTAGCAACCATGACAGAGAAGTCATAAAATTTGACGTGAGTCCCAATTGTGGTTGTAGACTACTTGTAGATGCTTGTCACAAGAGTACATGACCAAGCACTCATTGGCTGCAATCTTGAAGTATATATATGAGGGCGACATTTATTTCATGCAATTGTCAAACTTCACTTGAGTTTTTAAAATGGTGTTTGAAGGGAACCTTTTGCAGGTCCCATCTAGAATGGATGCATCCTGCAAGTGAATGTGGCTGCCTAAGCTGAACATTAAACTGTTGTTTGTTTTTTGAGATAATACAACAATATTAGTGATGTGCAGGTCTTAGGCAATTCCATTTATTAAAACAATAGAAATTATTGCTAAAAGCCTTCATGAGCAAACAAATCTAACCTACTTCAGAAACATTGTTTGGTTTATTCCTTTTCTCCTGTCAACGTATAGGTTCCAAAATGAACAAGTGGCCTTAATATGCAAAACTGGAAAAAATACATGGGATCGGTATGACAATTTAGCATCGCACAAGTGCTGATTGTGTAGCATGATGTCCTGTTTCCTGCTTTCAGTGTGATGTTGTTTGTGTTTGCTGTGTAGGCTTCAACCCACTCTTATTGAGCAAGGATTTGAAGCATAACTTTCTCTCTTCCTTCTCTTTCATCAGCTCCATCCAGAGGGTGTTGCTCTAGCTTTCCAGGTCATTTCTTTACGGGTACAGAACCAGGATCTAGAACAGTGATGACTAACCTTTTTGCCGTCGCGTGCCAAAAGTGGGAGGAGCGAGGTGGGGTCACGTGCGCGCGTGCTCACACCCATAATTCAATGCCCCCCCACGACATAACCCCCACACACATGTGTGCACGACACACACCCCCCCTTGCTTGCCCCGCTTTTGGCACATGACAGCAAAAAGATTACTGATGGGCCCGGAAGGCCCATTTTTCACTCTCCCCATGCTCCAGAGGCTTTCTTGGAGCCTGGGGAGGGCAAAAATGGCTCCACCTCCCCGAGGCCCTCCGGAGGCTGGAAAAAGCCCGTTTCCTGATTTCCGGTGGGCCCAGAAGGCCTAAAAATTAGCTGAGCTAGGGCAACGCTTGCGTGCCCACAGATATGGCTCCGCGCGCCACTTGTGGCACATATACCATAGGTTCACCATCATGGGTCTAGAACATGGGGTCCAACATTTTTGGCTTGCCTGGGCCGCATTGAGTGAAGAGGAATTGTCTTGGGCCAGATATAAAGTACATAAAATAGTTAATGTATACAAATGACATAATTAAGTTAAAAGTTTATGTTCTTATGGGGCCACATTAACTAGCTGTCTGGGGCCACGTTTGGTCCATGGGCCTCAGGTTGGACATGTCTACTCTAGAATATTAATTTCAGCAAAGGACCATGTCATGTTGCACTTATTATATAATCTATGCCTGGGACACATTTTCATAAGCAGATCTGATTTACCACATGCTGCAAAAAAAACCCTCCAGTTAAGCACATCTTCCCACCGCATGTGGGGAAATTTGGGAACCTGCAAGTATTTTCTAAAATTAGCAAATAGCTCAAAGTATATTAAATGCTTTGTAAAAGCCAACCCCATTTCTAGAAGTAATTGACCAGCCTCAAATTAATGTAGAAATCCAATAGGGTGATCAAGGAATTCTTCCACTATATGCTAAGTTGCATAGGTAAAATATTAGGTCTCTCAAGGTGTAAATGATAACCAATTATACATTCAAGATTGTCAAGGACTCCCTTTATGTAGTTGGGTAGGGCAAGAATTGACTGAACGTCCATCAATTTGCACAGAATATCCAACCCTAACTCTTAAACCTACAGGAATGTTTCAGAGGGAGGGAGGACTTCAAGGGGGAAGACAAATTGGGAAGTTTGTCTTCCCTGAACATGGTTAACAGCTCAAAGGCAGGGCTTTTTGTCTATACCGAAGTAAACCTCATGGAGCTTGATAGGATTTCCTCCCAGATAAGAGATGCTCAATATTGCCAAGTAGCTTAACATAGTGTAGGAAAGAGGCAAACAATGCACGGGATGTTCCTCACAAACAGATTTTTGTTGCCTGCAAACAACTCACAGATTTCACTGCTGAAATATAGTAGTGGAGCAAAAATGCTGATTTTTGGTGACCCTGTTTTTCCCACTTTTCCCACCAGTCACAATCTTTGTACAGTAGTTGTTGGAGGCTAAAAAGAAAAAGTCAGAAAGATCAGTCCTCCCCGACTGCAAAATAATAATAATAATAATAATAATAATAATAATAATAATAATAATTATTATTATTATTATTATTATTATTATTATTAGTTAATCTTTAGTGAGATTCACAGCCTTTGAGGCTGGTTAATAGCTCAGCAGCTCGAGTCCTAACCAAGGACCTAGGAACTGTTAAGGTATTATTATTATTATTATTATTATTATTATTATTATTATTATTATTATTATTATTATTATTATTATTATTATTAAATCTGACCTCCTTTGCCCCACCCCAATCTTAGAAGAACCTTCCAGTTGAGATTCCTATTTTAAAAAACAGGTTTTGGGGGCTTTCATGTCATTGTTTGGATTCAAATTCTTGCAGTTTTAGTACTCTAAATTAATTAGTTAATTTAACTATTAATTTTCTCATCGGCAAACGTTCTTCCTTACTTGGCTTTGACTTTAGATGCTGCAGTACTTTCTTGAGTTTGGTAGATGCGGACAATGTCAAAAACACTTTGTTGCTCCAGTAATTTTCTTTCTTATGTTCTTTACAATGAACTTCTGTTTAACTCTGGGAGAATAAAACTCCCAGAGTTTGCAGGAGGGCAAAATGAGAAGGGTTTTTTTTTTATTGCTGGTTTCCTGGTGCCTTAAACTCTTGGCATCATTCTCATTCGTTCTTGCCGAGGAGACCTTGAAAAGTGCTTTATAAACTTTATTTCAGAAACAGTTTCCTTTTTTTCCCTATCTGACGTCCTCAAGGTAGTGAATAACGTCAGTGGAAAAAAAGATGCTTACATGAAATCAAGGTAAAAGCTTCTCTGAGGGAAGATCGAATTTCGGTGACTCCATGGATACGTTCTTTCTTTGTTTGGGTTTGAGTTTTTTTTTTTTCTTGGCAACAATAAGAAAAGAGTGGCCACTGTCTCCTCTTGGCACGCTCTATTTCAGTTTCCCAACCCAGCCATTCCTCTTGCTCTTCTATGGGACTTCTTGGTGGAAGTCTCTTACTCTCCCATCTAAATATTGACTAGGTCTGACCCTGTTCAGTTTTCTTTAAAGTCAGCTAAGTGCTACCACCAGCTCTGGCAATTGTTCTTAAAAATTAATATACAAGCATTAAATTCTATTAGTATTTTTTAGCCTTTGAAATAATTGCTCAGCGTTACCTACCCTGGATGTCCCTCATAGTCTCAAAAGCTCCTACACAACCTAGTTAGCCTTTTCAAGACCAGCCAAGCTTACAGTGATAACTGTTGAAAATAGAATTTAAGAATCATGAATGAGATTTTTGGGGAGATAGAGCAATCTTGACTAGGAAGCCATGATCTCACCAGACATTTGTCTCTTGGCCCAAAGACAACACCAAGTTTCCAAGTTTTGGATGCTGTGTGTATCTAAGTTGTGGGATCTAATATTCTCAGTGATATATTCAGTACTTGTCTTAAAGGAAAAGCATTCATTTAAGCAGAATATTTCAATCAAAATAACCTATGACCTGAGGTCCTACTCTGATTAGATTTGCATAAATCAATAGCGGGTTGTTTGTGATGGAAGGAATCAGAAGTGGCCCTCAAGTCTTTGTGAAGCTCAATAGAATTAGAAAACAAAGCCATATGCTGTTTTTCAACTACAAAATACCGATAGAAATGAAGGATCCATTCCTGTTTTAAAATACCAAGAAATTCTGAAGCCAATTCTATCACATCCTGTTAGAAATACAAGGTCCATGTTCTATTTTGCATTGCATAGACTGCATTCTATAGCTTAATGACTAACCAGCAACCTGCATATCTTATACCTGCAACTGTCTGTTAATTGTCTTTTCCACAGAAGTAGCCATGTCTGACTGACTGAAAAGCAAGATTCTTTTGCGTTATTGTGTTTGTCTTGCTTAGTTTCTTTGGAATTCTTGTCAGCTGCATGGGTCTTTTCTTACTGGCTTCTGTAGTTGCTGTAGTCTTTGCTCTGGTGCCAACTGTTGCCATCCCATTATTATACAGAAAATGAAAAATGACTCTGTTTTCCCCCATAGGTTAACTAGTAAACCACCACCAAGCATACCACCTGTTGATTATGTTCCAGGTATGTACTTGACTTTATTAACACCGTTATTAGATTTTAGGATTGATGCAGGCATGTAAATCAGAGGTTTGGGATTCAAGATGGTGGCATGTGTACATGCAAGCATCACATCAATTAGGGTGGAAGACAGTCCCTAGTTTTTCCTGAGTTGTGTCTGTCAGGTGATTTATATGACTGAAATGTGTGCTGGTAGTCCTTGTCTTATGACAGGCTTGGTTCACTTAACAACTGCAGTGTTTACTTAATGACCACCGTCTATAAGATTGTAAAATCGAGTCAGTCATTATGACTATTATGACTTACAACCATGATAGGCTCCATTATGGTCATAGGTTAAGGACTAATGTAAAAGTGTTTCCTCAGTGATATGGGAATTACACCGAATAAATCTTTCCCACTTGCTAAAGTAATGTCTCTCTGCAAAAGCAGAATACACTACATAGTAAGAGTGCCTTCAGTGCATATTATACTTGCCACAAAATGTCCTATGGATCATACTTATCCTTCAGCACCCACAAAAAATCCAGGATAATTTTCTCTGCTTTTAGAAACTAAAATAAACCACAGAAAGTTGCATCAGCTTGTAGGTCATGTCCTAACAAGCAGAAAACTATCTGCAACTTTTGTTTAACTATATTTTGGAGGAATACTCCAGAGTGTCATTTATGAAGCTCAGCAGCTTCATACTCTACCTAGGCATGATTTACAGGAGATCTCCTGTAAATGAAGATCCTTTATAATCAAACTCTGTCTCAGTCCTAGCTTTTATAGGCCTTTCTGAGTTCTCATTTTTCTTATGGAGAACTTTGCAGGTAACAGGAATATTTGCCCAAAGAACATATCTACTTGTCACTTGTGCTTGTAAGAACAGTTGTGTTGGTATTATTTGTGCAACCTACATTCAGGAAGTTAGTAGCTGCCAATCAAGCAGCCCACAGCCATTGTGACCAAGGCTCATTTTATTCCCACTTTTGAACAAACACTCCTAAAATCAAAGGAAGTTATTTTACTCATACCCCAACTCAGTATTTTATTTTATTTTATCTTTTTTTATTTATCTTATTTTTTATTTTATTTCATTTGTATTTATTTTATTTTATTTTATTTTATTTATATATCGAAGTGATTCTTGGGCATTTAACAGCGATTAAAAACCAACAAGGAGTACAACACCCATTGATATATAATAGGGACAAGTAGGAACTCTGTAAGGCAAGTAAAAAAACGTCAAATGGCAGCCATGATTTAAACCCCTCCCCCCTTTCTCCTTGTATGTCACCATCTTGATTTTTTTTTTTTTAATTCTCCATATGGACTGCCCTGGAGATGGGAAATTACAATTCTCCTCTTGGCTCCTGATTTGTTAAATGACTTTTTTTTAAATGTTAAACAGTTAAGTAAGAGACTAGCATCCAACAAAGCAAAACATCAATTACTAGCATTAAATGTATCTGCAGGAATTCTTTCAGCCCTTCAAAGATCTCATTAGGCATATGAAAACTAACTATCTTCTCACAAAATGCAAAGATTGTAGATACAATAAAGCCTGATTATCAAATCCCACTCTCACACAGATTATCCCAAATTTCAAAATAATTTTACATATTTGATTTGTTCATCCTAATCGGAAGTTTGATTTTGTACGATTGCTCTTATACTTTAAAATGTTCAAAGACCAAGCGTCAAACAAATAAAAAAGTGTTTGGAAGAAAATGGCAGCCAATTCAAACATTTAAATGCAATTTATATAATATATTGACTGATTTTTGCTATACTCATATTAAAAAAAAAAGACAATCAAGAAGAATGCTGGAAGAGTTTATTGCCAACCATTTAACTGTACAATTTATTTTCATTAATTTCAGTGGGTGCCATCCAAGATTAATCTTTCTAAGGATAAATCAGTTAAAATTCACATGCCTCCATTTAATCATGTTTTAGAGAGGGGCCTTAAATGTCACTTGGCCCAGTCTATCTGGTTTTTCCAAATATAGTGATATAAATAATGAATTAATATTCATGTAATCCTAACTTTATTATAGAACTGGAGTAGAAATGAGAACATTTGTCTTTGACATTTTGCTCAGATGACTGCTTACATAATTTGACGAACAAATTAATTCTAATTTTTATTTTAGACCGTTCAGAAGAAGAGGAACAGTGGTCAGATGACTTTGTAAGTTTCTTCGCCACTCGCATATCTCCAGGGCATCAGCAGGGGGCGTCAAAACCAAGAGAGCAGCTGTCCCAAAGATCTTTTTGGCCAACATGCTGCAAGGACAACCAAAGCCTAGTTTTATCCCTAACAGGTTCATGCTATTATGCAAGCCATGATCTCTATTGTAAGCCAAAATACTTCTGCTAGCATCTCACCATCTAGAAATGGATGCAATGGCCTGTCATCCAATTAAATTATGATTGACCATTCACATCTGAAAACAATGATTACAATCTGTGTGTAGGGCCCAAAATTATGGGACTTTAGGTAATATTTGGGTGTCATTAAAATAAGGGATTCTTTTAGCTGTCGAAACTCATAGCTCATAATATATTGAACCGTTTTTAAAAGTCGCATTTCATAGTTTCCTAAGAAATTCACAATCTTCTTCTTCCAGGACAGCGATTATGAAAATCCAGATCACCACTCGGATTCTGAGATGTATGTGGTTCCCACAGAAGAGAACTGTGACGACAGCTATGAGCCTCCTCCAAGTGAACATGAGCCAAAGACGGTCCCAATACCATTCACATGTGCTCAGGGTGTCTATGCAGGTATGTCCATCATGTCCACACTCCTGTTTCTCAAGATCAAAGTCAATGATATGGAATTCAAAGAAACAGAAGAGTTTCAAATTGAGGGAGAAACTTTTTAAGATTCTGGGAGGTCTAAGGGCAGATCATCCATTTGAGCACACATACACACTCACACTCAGACACACTTTCACGTACATTAAAAAAAATTCATGATTTTTGATACATTATAGCCAATAACAGAATAATCAAGAACAAGTGGAGAAACCTACAATGCAAAAATAATTCTTGACCTATATATTTAAATGAATTCCACTGCCTAGAACAGTGTTTCTAAACCTTGGAAGCTTGAAGATGGGTGGACTTCAACTCCCAGAATCCCGGGAGTCACCCATCTTCAACTCCCAGATTCTGGGAGTTGAAGTCCACCCATCTGCAAGCTTCCAAGGTTGAGAAACACTGCCTAGAATGACATGCTGATAATTTTAAGTTGTCCTTTGGATGGGGTTCTTCCCATGTGGATGACCCCAGAGCAATCCACCCCCACTTGAAACATTCATACCTGTTCTTCAAGTTCTCATGTTTAAAAACAATAATCCTATCAAGCTTGAATCTCTTCTCATTCTATTAGAATTTCATTTTGCTACATTACCCGCAAAGGAATCTTTTTTTGGATTATACCAATTTTAGATTATTTATGAACATCTTAACTAATCCCATGAGATCTCCTATAATGTCCCTTTGTTATAACAACTATGCAGGAGCTTACATTTTCTTTTGATCAATGACCAGTCAATAAAAAGGCCTTGGAAAAAATTGAACACTTCAATGCTAAGCTTTAGTTTTGCCCCAGCCAAATAGATCTAGTCTCAAACCAAATACAGTAATCCCAAAGATACAATTACCCTTGAGGGCTATTTCTTAAAATAAAACTAATCATAATATATGCTTTTTTTCTGAAATACTTAAGATGGTTTTGGATGGTGCACTGATGAGCCTCCAATATTGTTAATGAAACTGTTTTTATCTAAAAGTAGAATAACAGAGTTGGAAGGGACCTTGGAGGTCTTCTAGTCCAACTCCCTGTTCAGGCAGGAAACCCTATACCATGTCAGACAAATGGTTGTCCAATCTCTTCTTTAAAACTTCCAATGTTGGAGCATTCACAACTTCTGGAAGCAAATTGTTCTGTCAGGAAATTTCTTCTTAGTTTTAGGTTGCTTCTCTCCTTGATTAGCTTCCATCCATTTCTTGACTCTCTCTTCTTTGTGGCAACCCTGAGATATTGGAACACTGCTATCAAGTCATCCCTAGTCCTTCTTTTCATTAAACTAGACATACTCAACCGTTCTTTATATGTTTTAGCTTCCCTAATCATCTTTGTTGCTCTTCTCTTCACTCTTTCTAGAGTCTCAATGTCTTTTTTACATTGTGGCGACCAAAACTAAATGACTGAATTCATTTTATCCAAATTGCTATATTAAATATTGAATTATGGCTATGGAGATTCTCAGTCATCCAGGTCATGGTTGTCTTAAAGGTGCTTTTTCAACAGGCAACTGGACTTCCTTTGCTTTTCCTTGAAGATATTTCTCTTCTCATTCAAGAAGCTCCTTCAGTTCTGACTGAAGCTCAGTTTTGAATTATGGGTTCAGGTCAGCTTTGGTGATTGGTTGCCTGGGAAAATCCCAGTGCAAAATAAACTGAGTAGGAATCCTTTTTGGCCCCTTTTTGGCCACCTTGTCTTTAAACAACAAAATGGAAACTAACAATATTTTTCAGCTTTTTTTTCTGATTCCAAGCTATCAATGATTCAGGCTGATAATATGACTGCTTTTTTAATGACACGAATAGATTTAAGGTGGTCATTGAGTATTGGACCGGTACTTACTGTTAAAGGATGAAACATAAATTTAATCATATTTAAAAACTAAGATATTTTCTGATATATATTTAATATATTCCACATATTTAATGCAATATACTTGAAAAAAATTGATTCTTTCAGCCAGCATGGTTTAATTAAAATTGACTGGTCTGAGTCAGATATTTATAAATCACATCTCATTATTTGGAAGAGTCATTACAACATCCAATGTCAAACAATGACTGGAGCTAATAGTATATCATAGTTCCAGCAAAGTAACTTGTGTTTTTGTTATACAATAGCATCACAAGGATACCTTCAGATATCCTTGTAAAACTTTTTGGACAGCTTTGATAAAGTGTGTTACCCATTGTCTAAGTCAAGCAATATAAGTGGTATTTGATGGTGGTTTGCTGTGATAATTAGATATAGTCTTGAATAATCCAATGTTCTTAAATCAAATTGCAGATGCAAATGAGTAGGAAACTCAATATATTTAACATCTTTAAGAAACTAATCTCATTTAGTATAGAGACAGAGACCACAGTTTCCACTTCCCAGACGTGAAAAAAAACCAGCTTAATCATCTTCAAAGCCACCAACATCAATGTGCTTAAAAACAAGGAGCCAAATTACTTCTCCAAATCACCATAGATCATTTAGCATGAAAAATCCTATTGTCTCCATTCCATACAAAAGGGAAGTAAAAACTTTTGATTTCACTTCACCCAACGAACATCTGTGTCCTTGCCTTTTCTTGCATGTCATGTACCAAATAAACAAAAGTCCCAGCTGTTGAACCAACCTTCCTGTTGGCAGAGCTGAAGTCCAGGAGCCAGAAAGCTCCGGCAATATACAGTAAGATAGGCATTCTGGCAAATGGAAGAATAAACCACCACAAACACACTGACTTTTACAATCGAAAACGAACTGTTTTTAATATGACTAGACTAGACTAGATCTAGTCTAGTCTAGTCTAGATCCTCTAGACTAGAGGATCTAGTCACAAGTCCTGTGAAGAAATAAACTTGCTCTGTTCTTGCGTATAATCATTTCATGTGATATAGACTTTCTCTTGCAGTCCAAAACAGATTCATGTGGTTGTTGGTGCTATAGAACTTGCTACAGTTTAGTAGGATTCCTGTTGTGGCCCATCAGCGGCCTGTGCAGCTAGTAGCTGATTCCGACAGTGAGGAGGCTGGTGTGGTGCTGCACCAGCAGTCTGTGCAGCTGGCACTCGAGTCAGACAATGAGGAGGCTGGAGAAGATGTGGTGCCAGAGGCAGGGATTCAGCCAGGGCCTTCAGAACCTCCAGAAGCTCCCATAAGTGAAGAGGAAGAAGAGGAGGAACCTCTTCTCGATGCATGGGCGCACAGAGCTGCCAAAAGGCAGGAGTGGTTCCTCAGGAGAAGGTCACCTCGAGAGTGGCTAATTGGCCACTCCCTTAGCCTATTTAAGGAAGGATGACAACTGAGGCAATTTCCAGGGAACAACTTCATTCACTCTCCTTAGTTCTCTTATCAGTTTCCTGCAAATTGCTTCTGGGCTTTCTGCCAACTATAGTAAGATTACAATTATTTATTCTTTGGATTCTTGTAGGCTGTTAAGAAAGTTAATTAACAGCTTTTATTTGAAAAAGACTGATTTAATTTAGTAAACTAAGGTTTGTACAGACTTAGTGTGTGCTGCGTTCTTTGGGGTCCGTAGCTGGGGCAGAACAGATTCCATTCCAAGGAAATACAACTGCATGAAAATGGAAGGGAATGCCCTTAATATTATTTTTTAAAATTATACGTAATTTTTTCTTCTGCTGTCCACAGATGACAAACGATCTAGCAAACCGAAGACGTGGCCCTCACCTATTCTGCCAAACCAATCTGCATCTCTATCAAAGAAACCAGCCACTTTACCGCTACCGCCACCTGCTGTTCAGAAGCCTAAACTCCCACCCAAGCGAATGGATGATGAGGTGACACTTCCCATTTTGATTACACTGACTCCATTTTCCGTGAGGGATGGAACAACCAGGCAGAAGAAATCTGCTCTTGCTGTTTTTTCATGAGACATTTATTTTCCTTTTTCCATTCCTTCTTGTAATAGGAGGTTAAATGGCAAATTTAATCGTACTTAAAGCCGCTGATAAGAGACAAAGCAGACTGACAAAGAAAAAGGAAGCCAGACACGGAGAATCAAAAGTCTGTCAATAAAGATTTCAGTTGCAAAGCTACTAAATTATACCTAACTTAGAACTTGGAAGATAGCAAGACAAATTACTTGAGTCAACCAGCTTAACTAAGGGGAGAGTAGGCAGCCTGGATCTGCTTGCTTTTGTTCCACCTGACTTTTGAAAAAGTTTAATAAAACAAAATGATACAAAACCAAGACATTAACATGCTATAAATAGAAAGCATTCATTTCTAAACATTCTATTTATCAGCAGAAATGGCTTTGGATCAGGGTTTGGTTCTTCTTACCTTTACTACCGATTAGCATCGTGCCCGCACATGCTCGCTTTGCTCGTGCGCGCACACGCTCTTCAGTGATGTGCAGAAGCTTCTGCGCATGAGCAGATCACTTCTGATGACGTCCGGGTCAGTGGGCGGAGCCTCCCGCTGGTTTTTCTACCGGTTCTTGTGAACCGGTCCGAACCGGGGGCAACCCAGCACTGCTTTGGATCCCAAAGAGATCCTACTAGAGCAGTAGAGAACATTCTGAGACGAAGTTGTCTTCTTGGAAGGGAACATCTTGTGCCCATATTTTGCAGCCTTACCTGGGGTAGGGGGATCTTGTCACAACAACTCATGCCCTTGTCATTGCCTGCTTAGACTACTGCAACATGTTGTACGTGGGACTGCTTTTAAGTTCATTCAAAAGCTGCATTTCGCACAGCCATATGCTGACCAGAATTCACTGATAGAAGCATTTCACACTATGAGATTTCAGATTGAAGAGCAATCTCTTATTCAGGAAATAGATCCTTTCCATTTGAGATTAACTTGTAATGCTTTTGACAAGATAGACAAAACTTGGTTACCTGGATGAGTCAGAAAATGGACACTATTAAGTTCCATTTATTTTAAAGTTGAAACATTAGCAATAGCACTTAGATTTATATACCACTTCACAGTGCTTTAGAGCCTTCTCTAAGCACTTTACAGAGTCAACGTATTGTCCCCAACAATCTGTGTCCTCGTTTTACTGATCTCAGAAAGATGGAAGGCTGAGTCAGCCTTGAGCCAGTCAGGATCAAAGGAATCGAACTTCTGGTGGTGAGCAGAGTTAGCCTGAAATACTGCATTCTCACCATTGCACCATCATGGCTCATTTGGACATGCATAAAACTTTACTGAACATTGAGAGGAAAGCATTTGCTTGCCTTATATTAAACATCCAAATATTAAATCCTTGCTGCATTTTCTTTTAGGCAGATTATGTTGTACCAGTTGATGATGAAGATGATGAAGATAATTATATAGAACCCACAGAAGAAAGCACTTCACAACCTGTAAAACGTAAGGTTTGGATTATTTTCTTTGCAACTTCAGAAAGACAGGGATGTGACTAAGGCATTGACTGAAATATGTGAAATATACGCAGGAGGCTATTTTAAAAAAACACCTGTTATCAAGAGTTTTGAATTCATATTAAGTTTTCCTTTTCTTATGAGAAGGTAAGGACTTTAAAAGGAAGAGTGGAAGATTGGGTAAAGAATTAGGGCCAAGTTTAAAAAAAATAGCTTCTATGAGAAATAAAAACAGTGAGGACTAGAATCTTGGCAGCTTTTTAAAAGATATTTCTTGGGATTTGGAAGACATGTTACTTTCATTGTACTGTATATAATATATTACACTTTAGAGTAGTGTTTTTCAAACTATGAACTTTAAAACGTGTAGACTTCAAATCCCAGAATTCCCCATGCTGGTGAGGAATTCTGGGAGTTGAGTTTCACGGATCCTAATGTTGCCAAGTTTGAAAAATACTGCTCTAGATTTTACGGTGCTTCTGATTCAGAGATTTAAAAAGTGCTTGGAGCACAAAGAGAAATTCATAGCACCTACCTATACATCCTTCAAAATGCATCAGTACTTGGGATCGTACAGGTTCAGCTGCTTTCAGTGTCACGTTTCTATCTCTTACACTCCTGAAAGTACCTTCACTTTTACATCCAGTATATTGTATGAGCCTTCACATGAATTTTTCCAACTGTGTCCTTATATATTTGGAAAGAAAAATGACCTCCAAAATTAGAAAAACATGCATTTCATTCACCCTTTTGAAAAAGCAACCTGAATTTACAAAAATATGCATATCACTCACCCTTTTGAAAAAGCAATCTAAATTTTCAGTGGCATGAGCAATAGTAAAACCTTAGGTAATTGATCAGCATGGGGGGCTAAACTGTGTTTCTGGATTTTGACTTTCTCAGAAATCTCTAATACTTTGCTTTGATCATTTTTAGCACCCGTGGTGAACAGATCAACCAAGCCTCCCTGTTCTGTGCCATCACCTTCCACACTAGGTAGGAAAATTTTGCGTTTTATCTTCCCCAAATCATGCAAAAACGCAATCAGTGGGTTGTGAAATGAGTTCAGCTTTAATTCTAGGCAACCAGATTGGTTACATTCCCTTAAAGAAAAGTAGGATTCAAAAAGGAAATGAGTTACATGTTTTAAGAATGTTTCCCCATAAGTACTTCAGACATTTGCTGTATATAAGGCACCAGACTAGAGAACTCCTCCTCTTTTAATATGTATTTCAGGCACGAAATCCTGTCTTTAGCTAAATGATACAGAGATGAACGCAGTGTAGCCAAAGGTTGCATTTCATGTTAATTATATATTTAGCATGACTTGAAAATATCTAATATTTTCTTCAAAGCCATTTCTTAAGGCTAAAGTGAATGGAAAATATGTTAATTCCTAGCAATCCATTAAGAAATAAAGTAAAGACTACCCTTGAGTCAACTCTTGATTATTGCATTGAAGATGTTTTCTTGGTAGCATTGCAAAAGTGGTCAGCCCTTGTCTTCTTCTGGGGTGTTCTTTCATTGCCCCAGAATTTGGCCGATTCAGAAAGCTAAGCAGGTCTCTTCCTAACAGATCACTAGAAAATCTCAGGGTTAGACTGGGAAATCAAAAACATAACTGGAAGAAGGTATGGGCAAAGCATATCTATATTCACATCCACAAAATCACCAGAAAACTTGGAGACTTTATTTAAGACTTTATTTAAATGAAATCTTTGTGTCATTCATGTCCCTAGTTTTGCACAGAAATGGTTTATTTCTGTTTCTATCCTCTTGTCTGCAGATGTATATGAAGTTCCTGAGGAAGAGGTAGGATGTTGTAGATATATATTTTTTTTTAAAAAAAAAGACTTACCTTTGCAGGAAGAGAAGAAATATTCAGAGCAGAAAGAGGGAAATAACTCTTTGTGATATATGAGTGTACAAAGGAAAGAGGAATATCATGCATATGTTCAAAATTGCATTTTATATATAGCGTTTAAGGACGCCAAATGCAATTTTCATCTCCTTTCTCAAAATGGTACCAATGAAATCCATTTCTAGGGAAAGATAAGAATATCAACCAAGTTTAAATCTTACTCGTTTTCCAATGATAATTTAAAGAATAATATGTTAACAATATATATTAGTTTTCTAAGATAAAATACTAGTAATAAAAGCTTGGATCAGCAAATTTGACATGTTTATTTGATCTGCTTTTGAAATTCACTATAGAAGGAACATCATATTTCAGTTATATGAAGTAGTTGTCGCAGCATCTCCTACAAATTGACAAAAACTGGCATTTTAGAGGAAATGTTCCTTAAGAAAATTAAAAACCTAATGCAATTTGTAAATACTAATCTAATTCATTTTCTCCAGCAGAAATCATCACCTCCATTACTCAGGTAACTTATTGTTCACTCTGAAATTATAAGTAAATGTTGCTACATAGTAGAGGTTATTTCCCCAATTTATTTTCTCCTAAAAAAAGTCTTAATCTAAGGTATATAATTGTAATTTTACAACACAGCGGAATTTTAGTGCAATTATGTATCGCAAAATAGCTGATGTGAGGTCAGGCAAGAGACAATTTATGCTAGAATTCAAATATGACTATAACCTTCTTTGACAAACCCAGCTTTTTCTATGTGCTGCTTCTATGTCTCCATCTGCACGTTGTGCATATCATATTGAATACCTGATTCAACAGTTTCACACTGAAATTAGGTACTTTAATTCTACATAATCCCCTAGCAACTGATATTTGGAGAACTTTATGAGGCGGTGGCAGAATGTAGACGAAAGAGTAGCAAAGACTAGGGGTGGAGTCAAAAAAAGAATCAGCCTGGAGTCACTAAATGGGCACAAATAAACTAAATACAACTTCTCTTGAATTGTATTAACCCTTACATAGCACCAGAATATTGCTTACTGTTAGTTGACTAAAATCCTGTGCATGGGCATGAGCAATACATTAGTTTAATTGGAATTTAATGTGTGGCCTTGGATTTTTGTGCCTCACATTAATCTAGTCAATTAATGTTTAGCACTATTTCAGCGCTAGATAAGGGTTAATGGAATTCAAGAGGGGTTGGACTTAGTTCATTTGTGGCTATGTAGTGACTCTAGGCTGATTCCTCTTTTGACTCTGCCCCTGGCTCTGTCACTCCTCCATCTATACAGAACTTTTAAACATCTGTGGGGAACATGACTTGGAAATGTAGTCATCCTGTGTGGAAAATCTATTTGTATTTTTTGTCCCTAAGGATATCCAAGCCGCTTCCTCCCAAGCCAGCTTTGAGGCCATCTGGAGGACTTTCTCATGAACGCAGCATACCTAAAGAATCCTTCACATCCGATACATTTAAATCAGACAGGTTAGTTTTTAGTTTTAAAGACGTTTCTCTAAATTGCTAATGAATAGAATTCATGTTGAGCATTTAATGTGGTTTGGGAGTAGCATTCTACTTTGACCAGAAAGAGTCAGGTTTGTATACAGTTATACAGCCACCTGTGTTTGAATCCAAGTTTAAATTTGGCCTCATTCAAGAACAGATAGGACTTTAAAAAAAAAAGACTAGATCCCATGAAGCAAATTTAAATAAATTATTTACCATAAGAAACTGCCACATTTACTATAAGGAGTCAAAACTCTCTAGGCTTTGCAAGCTGTGCTGATCTGGCATTGGTCTTTATCCAACTGGGAGACCAATCCAGTTAAAGTCCATGTACTTCCTCAATATAGGGGATTATTATTTATTTTTTATTTATTTATTTATTTTCAATTTATATACCGCCCTTCTCCCTGAGGATTCAGGGCGGTGCACAGCCAGAATTAAAAACATGAAATACAAATATTAAAAACAATTAAAATCTATATAAATTTGGCCCAAAATTTAAAAAACCACAAACCAATTAAACATTTAAATTTTAAAAAATTTCTTCCTAAGCCAGCCCGGCTTGCTGGAAAAAGTGGGTTTTAAGGGCACGTTTGTAAAAGTAGTACGGCTTTCTGGAGCTGATCTATTGATTATAGTTCTCATCAGCCCTAGATAGAAATGTGCTGTAGTAGCTGATGATGATGAGAGCTTTATTGTAGGAGATGGAATATATACTATCCATCTTGGAGGGCATCAGGTTTAGGAATTGAATTTAATATATCCCCTTTTTAGGTAACCCAGCTCAGTTCGCAGTGGAAAAATACCCCTAAAGCAATCATTGGAAAGCAGTTTATTGCAGTTTTATTTAAAGGAGAAATATAAAGACTAAAACATTTTCTGTTCTTTCCAGAAACATTTTACCACTTCCAAGGCACCGCCCTTCACCGAAAGCTGTAAGTATTTCACATACAAGTTCATAATACAGTATGAACAGTCTGGACTATTGTAATGTGCTCTAGATGGGGCTGCCCTTGAAAAATACCCAGAAGCTTCATTTGTTTTGGAATGTAGCAGCCCACACAATTTTGCATACTCATGTAGCACCAGTTTTGCAGGAGCTGTAATCTACTTCTGGGTACATTTCAAGATCCTGGTTATCACCTTTAGAGCCCTATATGGCTTGGGGCCAGGCTGCTTGAAGGACCACCTCTCTTCCATTGTATCCACTTAGCCCATCAGGACAGGAAGGCAGAGTATGCCGCAGGTCCCATCTGGTAGGAATGCATATCTGGTAGAACCATGAAAAAAGATTTTTCAGGTGGTGGCCCCTTCTCTATGGAAATGATTCCTCCAGAGGTAGGATTGGATCCTGACTTGTTGCTTTTCTGAAAGGCACTGAAAATGTGGTTTGCTAGCAGGCCTTGGAACCATGAATAGAGATGGAGATGATCGAGGGGTTGATTTGATTGTGTGGCTATAGCCAGGGGACAAGTATGGTTTTTATGTTGTAGAGTTTTAATATTGTAAGCCACCTGTGTGGGAGTTGGGTAGCCATATAAAGTTGCTTAAAAAATAAGTTATAAAGACACAGTGAGATTCCACAGGTAGGGGAGGGGAGGGCAGAGGAGAAAGAGAAGATATATGACGTATCACGACTTCCCCTTCACTAAACCAGGCATGGATGTGGCCAGCGGGTGACATATCTGGCCTGCAGGCCGCGAGTTTGAGAGCCCTGTTCTAGTCCATGCTTATATTTAGAGCCATGACATATTTAGCCCAAACTCCAGGATAATTAAAGTAACCTGTCTTGCTCATGCCTAAATATATGTATACAAACCTTCTTTATCAGAGTCTTATTTATTTATACTTCATATTTCTTAATCGCCCATCTCCCTCAGACTCTTATGTTCTATGTCCAGATCTGGAATGGCTGCCATTTGGGATTTATAGAAACTGAAATTCAAACCTATAACAAACCATGCTTCAAAATCTGATTTTCGCAAAGCCATTACAGTGTTTATTCTGGATTAAACAGAAACCCTGAAATCCTATTTTAAATGCTTCTGAAATAGGGATTGGATGGCAGTATGGCCAAGCTCATTAATTGGGGCTTTTTATTTTGGTGCCATTTGAACACAGTGCTTAATAATACCAATGTTTTTCAAGCTGGCCATTGTTTTTTCTGTAGCATGTAAAGCTATTTTTATTGGCTCCAGATTTTATCTTGCTTTGGATTAATGCTGTGGGTCTTCTGATCATATCTCACTGAAGGTATATCACAATGTTTCCCAACTTCGACAATCTTAAGATGAGCGGACTTCAATTCCCAGAATTCTCCAGCCACCTTAGAATCAGACATTTCAGAGGATTCCCTGTCTTGAACTTTCCTCCAACATACTCATCAATTTTTCAACTACCTTGGCAGATTCCTTCTCAGCCATATATAAATCTATGGACTATGGATGGACTTATATATGACTGAGAAGGAATCTGCCAAGGTAGTTGAAAAACTGAGGAGTAATGTGTTGACTCTGACCAGGACAGGAAATGAGCTAATGAATCATAATGGGAAGCAGCAGAAGCTTCTCACAACATTAAAATGAAAGGAACAAGTTTGGCAAGAGAAGACTAATTCATTGAACTCACTAGGATGCTAGAGATTTGTAAGCAGGTCAATCCCAAAGGCATGGAAGGATTACGAAAAATGGGGCAAAGCCACACAATCTGCTCATACAGAATGTCCATAAATGTGCAAGCATTTCTGAAAGTTAAGCCTGTGTACACATTAGTTTTAATATGAGAGCCAGTTTGGTCTAGGGGTTGAGGCACCAGGCTACAGAAGAGAAGCAACCTAGAACTAAGGAAAAATTTCTTAACGATAAGAGCAATCAACCAATGGAATAATTTGCCTTCAGAATTTGCTGATGGGTGGTTCATCACTACAGGCTTTCAAAAAAAAGACTGGACAAGCCATTTGTCTGAAATGGTATAGGGTCTCCTGCTCAAAGAGGGGGGTTGGACTAGAAGACCTCCAAGGTCCCTTCCAACTCTATTCTATGTTCTGTAAATCAGGAGACTGTGAGGAGTTCTAGTTCTGCCTTAGTCATGAAAGCCAGCTGGGTGTGTCTTCAGCCCAATTCACCTCACAAGGTGGTGGTTGTGGGGAAAATAGGAGGAGGGTTTGTTGGATATGTTCACCACCTTGAGTTATTTGTAAAAATAATAAATGGCAGGATACAAATAAATGAATATTGATGCTGCTGTTTATGGATGACTATGGAGATTCTCAGTCATCCAGATCATGGTTGTCCCAAAGGTGCTTTTTTTCAAGAAGCAACTGGACTTTCTGGGGGTTTTTTGGAAACGTTTCGCTTCACATCCAAGAAGCTTATTCAGCTCTGAAGAAATCCTTCCATTCCCCACCATTCAGTCAGAGCTGAAGAGGTCCAGTTACTCTTGAAAAAAGCACCTTTGCTGTTTATTGATGTTTTTATTGATTTTGTGTAGAACTAGAATTAATTAATTTGACGATGACATCTTCATTAAGTCATATAATAAAAATAAATAAGTACCTTTGCAACACACGTCATCACAATACCTAGATTACAATTTGCTCAGAGCTGTTAAATAATCTGAAAACTGTTTTAATTTCAGGATCCAGAGGTCATTGGAGCTCAAACTGATGGAAGTAAGAATATTCTGCCTTAAAGACAAATGTGCAGGGACTTCTAAGATAACTAGGAGCACAAAAGCTGCTTCCAAATTATCAATGTTTCATGTTGACTTTATCATTTCATGTGATCCTGTGACTGTGTAGGAACAAAACTGTTGCACCATATCAAAGCGCATTGATTTTGATGACAGGTCTTTCTGAGTTTTTCTAAGAATTGTTTGAGCTTTTCATTTTTGCTAGAATGTTTTTTAACAGGTGAGGAACCTGTGGCCATCTGATGTTGTTGAACTACAATTCTCAGCTACCCTGATGAACATGATCAGCGGTGAGAAATTACCATATGAAAATTGTACTCAACAACATCAGGAGAACCGTAGTTCCATGTTAGCTTCAAAAGCTGGTTTAATGTAGCAGATAAGAATATGTCAGTTGTGGAATCTTAGCCTTGAATTTCACCTTTTCCACATATATAACCTTTCTCAACCTTGGTAATTTGAAGATGTGTAGTTTTCAACTCCCAAAATTCCCTAGTACATGCTGGCTGGGTAATTTTGTGTGTTGAAGTCCATATATCTTGAAGTTGCCAAAGTTGAGAAACACTGCCTTAAACTAATCATTTTCTCCCTTTGCCTCTCCCTACCATGTTAAGGGAATAATAATATTAACGTACTGCAGTTGAGCCATTGCACAAATGATGAAATAATACGAAATGCTTGAAAGTTTCTGTATTTTTGATCCATAATTGTAACTGTATATGGATAATATACCAATTGTTTCTGGCAAATGCTATATGATGGTATATGATAAAACTTTGATTTTTATGAGCCTCCGTTCAGTGGACTTTGGATACAACGATTAAAAATTGCATTTGAACTGTATCACAAAGCAATGTTTGTGCTGTCTATGTAAACTGGAATTTAATTGACATTTGGCTTTAATAGACACAGCTTTTCCCCACTTTGTCTATAAAATCAAATTTTTATTGTATGTTATGTTATCAAGATGCTTTCAAAATTTTGAGTGTTAAGGTTGAGCGTTTTAGGTATTTTGAACTGGACTGGGTAAATCCTATGAAAAAGGAGATTCATACGTATTCCTGATTTTTCCAATACAGTTTGGTCAGTGGATTTGCACAGTTCTGATTTTCAGTGGCTTTCTTATACTCAAAGCAGTAGTAGCAGTAGTCTAAACTTTAGAAATGTAACATTTTGTTAACCAACAGTTACATTGAACTAATTACTGTCTTTGGATTTTTAGATAATAGCAGCAATGGTGCTACAGAATTTAAACTTCCTTCTGTTAATGTTCCATCGCCATTTCCCAGGATCACGTAAGTGTTTTTTAAAAAATCATTCCTTCTCACTACGGAAACTGTTCCAGTTTTTGTAATCCTTAAATGCATTATTTACCAGAAGCAATGTAATGGTTTGTAATCATTTTATACACCATGTTATTGAAGTAGTTAACTGCTCTGATAGATTGGCTAGATGTAAAGAAAGGTTTTGTATATTTTAAGCGCTTCTGAGAAGGCAGTGTGCAAAGTCTATGATGTACGTTTAAAAAAAGGGATAGGGCTTTGATCACATGATCACAGTTGCCATCTTGACTTTTTTGACCCATCACCCATTCCTGGCATTTGTTCACCCCTTTCCAGCTGTGCTTAGTTCAAGCAAGTTTCATCATATTCTAACATTGTTTAATATCAATAATTCCAGACCTTTCTGGTACGAGTCTGTGGACTCCTTAGACTGATCTGATATCAGGGCCACCCCACAGTACAATGTCATCCTTTGGGAGGTGGGGCAGTCTAATAGAAGCATTGCCCAAATTCCAGAACAAGTTGGATTGTTTGGAAAACAGGCAAACACTGCGATGGAGTTAGCCAGATAGACATCTAGACACACATGTCATTCCTCTTCTGTGTAAATAGAGGCAAGGGACTTCCTTACTCTAAGAGCTGCCATTTTTGCTCTGATGGCAGCTCAGTTGATTATTGTAGGCTGCTACTTGCTTCCAGGAAGGGACACTAGCATTCCTGGCTTCTTTCCTGGATTCTGGGGTTGCCCGAATAAAAGACAGTGACAGAACCAACTTGAAAATGGTTTGGAGAGATCCAGAAATGGAAATGGGAACAGCACTTAGACTTATATACATCTTCACAGTGTTTTACAGCCCTCTCTTAAGTGGTTTACAGAGTCAGTATATTGCCCCCAACAATCTGGGTCCTCCTTTTTACCGACCTCGGAAGGATGGAAGACTGAGTCATACTTGAGCCAGTCAGGATCGAAGGAATCAAATTCCTAGCAGTGAGCAGAATTATCCTGCAATACTGCATTCTAACCACTGCGCCACCATGGCTACTGTGGTGCTATGTACTGTATAAGGAAATCCTCGATTTACATAATTAGGACCAGGGTTTCCATTAAGAAAGAGAGTTCTCAAGAGAGTTGTCAAGAAAGTTGCACCCGGTTTTACCACCTTTTTTGCCATTCTGGTTAAACTAATCACTACAATTATTAAGTGAATCGTGCAGTCATTAAGCAAACCTGGATTCCCTTATTGACTTTGCTTTTGTTGGAAGCCAGCTGGGAAGATCACAAATGGCAATTACTGACCCTGGGACATTGCAAATATATGCAGGTTGCCAAGCGCCCAGATTTTGATCATGTGACCATGGGCACGCTTGCAGCAATCATAACTTTGAGGACCAGTTGTGGGTCACTTTTTTCCAGTATTGTCGTAGTTGCTAAATGGCTGGTTTTAAGTCAAGGACTCCCTGCAGAAGGACTTTCGAATCTAAACCTAATGCTTTCCCCGCAGATTGCACCAATGAGAACGAGATACCCTGTGTTTATAAATTGTGTGGTGGTCAGAGCTAGCTAGCTTCACTTTATCATGAATTGTATCAGTATGGAGGCAGTATGAGAGACTTCTGTTTAAAGAAGGGGTCTCCAACCTTGGCAACTTTAAGATTTGTGGACTTCAGGTCCCAGAATTCCTCAACCAGTAAAGGAATTCTGGGAGTTGAAGTCCACAAGTCTTAATGTTGCCAAGGTTGGAGACCCCTGGTTTAGAGACGTGCAGGAGAAGGACTTGCGTAAAGAAATATATCCAAACTTGGGTGCTCATAAATTGGATCGTGAAAAAGAAGGCTGCAAAGCAAAAGGAAGTTTAATAATACTCTTGCATCCGTACTTTTTTTTTCTGCAGAAAAAAGCAAATGACTCCTGCAATACCACCGGTGAGTTTTGTGTTTTTAAAATTGTCACACAGAAGAGCAATTCTAAAAGCAACCAAAAATAATTAATTATATAATCACCACCTTGTTCAAGCTATGTATCTACCGTGTTTTCCCAAAAATAAGACCCTGTCTTATATTTTTTGGAACCCTGAAATAAGCACTTGGCCTTATTGCCATGTGCTCAAAAGCCCGATGGGGCTTATTATCAGAGGGTGTCTTATTTTGGGGGAAAGAGGGTATTTATATACAGTACATATATGCATATATACATATATTTATTTTGCATTCTGTTGGATTAAATTGATCGTATTATGCTTTTTTTTTTTGTATTATTGGAAATGCATCAATCATTACAAAACGATCTGAAATTTTCAATGGTATCTAAAATATTTGGACGTAGCCTCTGGCAAAATTGAAGTGCTGAATCATAGGAAGTTTTATATAATAAACACTGTGTCAGCACTCCATCGTAACCTGACACACTGATTCAAGCATAGGAAATGAGCAGACATAGCGAAGATGTCATAATGTACCCAAAATCTATATATATAAACATCACTTTTAATAGATGCAGTCATTATCAACTTGAAACAAAGTGGATAAGAAATTAGACAGAGCAAAAAGAATTGGCAAGCTATGGCACAGTTCTATTTTGAACAGTTCTATTTTGAAATCTGGGAGCGACAGACCAGTGATATCTGTTAATTGTGGGCAGTTAGTGTAAACTTGGATTAGTTGCAGCAGGACTATCCCAACAGATGTTGGATAGAAGAAACAAGCACTGGTTGCAATACTTGTTTCCAATAGTTGGTCTCTATTTCTGTGATCAATATTCAGGATTATTGATAATAATAATAATAATAATTATTATTATTTTTTAACGTTTGTATTACATGTATTTTTATCGTTCGCTGTTCACCGCCCTGAGTCCCTCAGGAATAGGGCGGTATATAAATTTAATAAATAAATAAATAAATAAATAAATTACATATTGTTAAACTTACTGACTTAATTGGAGCATTTTTTTGTTACTACATTACCTAGCACATTTATATTTCTGTGTTGGCCTGTTAAAGATATTTCCTTAATATGGATTTTGGCATTTGTTTTCTTTCCTGTGACCAGGACAAAAGCCTTTTTCAATACATTTAACTTCTGTTCATATTGAAGAATCAATTATAATTTTGATATTGGCAATTGCCAAACATTTACATTGTTCTCTGTTTATTTTCTCTTTTGAAAGACACACATTATGATTCAGAATTGATTCCACTGCTAACATAATGAATATGCAATGGCTAATAAGACAATTGCTCAATGCCCAAGCTATAATTTGCTACAGTGAACATAAAACTCAGTAAACTTTATTGTCAAGCAAAAACAATAATTCTAAATGCATTAGCCTACTAGAGTTATGCAGAGTTTTAATTTCCAGATGTGATTCAAAGATAGCTACATAAAATATACAGATTGAATTTATTCAAGAAAAAAACTCAAATTTAGAAATTGATTTGATGCTTCAATTGCTTTTGTCAGGGAAATCAAGGGGGTGATCCAAACAAGATACTAGCCCTGACCAAATGAATGAAACCCCACCCCTATATTTTTCTTGACTGTACACCGCCTTGAGTCCTACGGGAGAAAGGCGGTATAGAAATATAATAAATAAATAAATAATATTTGTGTGGTTAAATCAAATTGCTTTAGAGTGACAGCTTGAAACTGAATCTTAAGTGTTTTGAAATACAAATCAGAATGTCTCAAATGAAAACGAGTCAACATTTCAAACCAAATGAACAATTCCAATGACTTGTACATACCTTCTATCCACAAAATTAATTAGTATTTTAAACCAATCTAGCCCACCCCAATGCTCTCTGGATGGGTTCCATTTGAGTTGCTCAACTGGATACTGACTATGCTGACTAGGGATTTATGGATATTGATGATCTACCATGGGGTGTCAAACTCAAGGCCCGGGGGCCAGATCCAGCCCATGGGGTACTTAGATCTGGCCCATGGGGCCATGCTGGAAACAACAAAGGACCAGCCCGCGGTGCTTCAGCCAGCGAAAATGAGCTCCTGCTCCATTTCCGGCTGCCACGTGCGACCCTCCTGAACTCCGTGTTCACTGGCAGAGGGTTGCAGGAAGCTGCGGCAGCCGAAAACGGAGCTCAGGAGTCCATTTTCACTGACAGAGCACTCGGGCCACCACAGGCGCCCCCGACATGAGTGACATCGAGCTGGCCACACCCACCCCAATCCCCCAAGGTCAAGCACAACCCTGATGCAGCCCTCAATAAAATAAGAGTTTGACACTCCTGATCTACCACATCTGGAGCGATCAGATTGAGAGAGGTTATTCTAATTTTTCAACATGATTGCCTACCAAATCATCATCTTCAATATCCCATTACTAAATGCAAACGAGATTATCTGTAAAATTAACTGCTTCTGCAGAAGAGCAAGTACTCAGCACACTACTGAATGCAACAGAAATTTATGCAATTTATGTATTTGGAAATGCTTAATATTGTGGTAGGTTTTATCAGACATTCTTTCTGTTGATCGTAAGTCTGAGAAAAAAAGTGTATAAATAAAACTTATTTATATTTATTTGCTTTAATTCGATATTATAGAAACCAAGCTTACCTGATAGAGACCACTTAAATATTGCTGAAGGTAAATTGCTTTTTTTTTCCTTTTTAAAACTTTTAATTTTATTGGTGATTGCCACTTTTTCTATGGAAAATAATATCGTAGCAGCGGTGGAACATATGAATTATCTTACCAGTAACTTGCTTTTCCAATAAATAATAGGGACAAGCTGTGAGTTGAAAGACAGATATATTGAGAGTGCGGAGAGAGGTTGCAAGTACTGTATTGGCCAAAATAGCAAGACAAGTAGACTCACTGTCTTTCTACAGATAAATATTAATTCCAACTGTGTGGGCAAAGGACCGTATTTGTGGCCTCATTAGATGCATCTGATGAGCCTGTCAACCCTGAAGCGAGCCTGGCTAAGGCCATCTTGGAGGCTTCAGGGTTCCACAAGGAAGAAGAAGGGACAGGGAGGTGGGAAATAGATAGCTAGGATTTTATAGTCAAAACAAAAAGTTTTCATGTGAGAACCAAGGACATTCCAACAGGTGGCTGGGGAGAGGAGGAGTGGAGTAATCAAGCAACCAGCCAGCACCTCTATTGGACAGAGTCACTCTATGAGATCGAATGCTGGCTAGACAGACCTGGGCCTGATTCACAGGACTATCCTCATATTCTCAATTTAAGAACAAAGAAAACATTTTCCCACTAGGCCAGTAGTTATAATTTCCTTCTGTTCCTCGATTTACACAATTCATCCCAAAATTTCTGTTGCTAAGCGAGACATTTGTTAAGTGAGTTTTGCCCCATTTTATGACCTTTCTTGCTGCAGTTGTCAAATGAATCACTGCAGTGGTTAAGTTAGTAATACGGTTGTTAAGTGAAACTGGATTCCCCTTTGACTTTGCTTGTCGGAAGGTTGCAAAAGGTGATCCCATGACCGCAGGACACTGCAACTGTCATAAATATGAGTCAGTTGCCAAGCGTCTGAAATTTGATCACATGACCATGGAGTTGCTGTAATGGTTGTAAGTGTGAAAAACAGTCATAAGTCACTTTTTTCCAGGGATGTTGTAACTTTGAATTAAATTAAATTCTGTATGATGTACAGAATTATATTAAATTAAATGATGTAAATTGAGGACCTGTATATTGCTGGAATTGTTGAATTCACCTTTACAGTATAGAATCAATAAACAATTAATTTAAGAGTAGGCTTATGTCTTTGACAAACTTCAGTTAGCCCCCGAGAGCACAGATTGTGGGATTTGGACCTGTTAATGTATTACGGTCCAATTTCTGGTGAACTACAGTGCTTGCGAAACACTAAAAGTCTGCTTAAATAAGATTACAATCTTTGTATTGTATATGCATGATTGTTTTCTAAAGATAACACATGTACATGTGTTCTGACAATTAATGAACAGATTGTAATGTATGGAACAGTTCAGATAAGCCTACTAAAATTGGTATACCAGTCTTTATTTCACAGACCAAGTGATATTATGAATGGATTCACCATAATCCAGCCAATTATGATTTATTCAGTTGGCTCTACTTAGATAGTATAATGACTAATTATAATGTATGGATCAGGTCACTATCTACCCATTGAGCAGAAATAAGTTGGGTTGGTTTTTTTTTTTTTTTTAGTAACTTGCCCTTGCTGTTTTAGCAATTATAGGAAAAATTTGCATAGTATTTTAATCCAGAGGTGTCTGCAGTTTACTTAAATTTGGCATAATAGCAATAGCACTTAGACTTAAATACTGCTTTACAGTGCTTTACAGCCCTCTCTAAGCAGTTTACAGAGCCAGCATCTTGTCCTCAACAATTTGGATCCTCATTTTAATAACCTTGGAAGGTTGAGTGAACTCTGAGCCTGGTGAGATTTGAACTGCTGGCAGTCATCAGAAGTAGCCTGCAGTACTGCACTCTAACCACTGCACCACCGTGGCTCATAATCTCTTTTAATCTTTTAATCTCTTTTCTAGCCCTGTTTTTTCAGGGGAATCCTATGATTAACGTACATGTATTATTTATATAGCAAGATATTTAGTCAGTTAAGGATAGAATAGATCAGCAAGCAACCTTGTAGCCGTGGTGGCGCAGTGGTTAGAGTGCAGTACTGCAGGCTACTTCTGCTGATCACCAGCTGCCAGCAGTTCGGCAGATCAGATCTCAGGCTCAAGGTTGACTCAGCTTCCATCCTTCCGAGGTCGGTAAAATGAGGACCCAGATTGTTGGGAGCAATATGCAGACTCTGTAAACTGCTTAGAGGGGCCTGTAAAGCACTATAAAGTGGAGTATAAGTCTAAGTGCTGATATACAAAGTGCTATTGTATATCAGCCAATGCAAGATCAACATCTGAGCTTAGAATCATTGCTCTAGTACAACTTGGAGTAGTTCCACCAAAGCTGGATTCATTTGTGAACCTAACTAATCAGACTTCTCTATCCTTTTTCAAACTCAGATAAACCTATACCTGCTGAACGCCGCCGGGGTTCCAGTCACGACATGCCTCTTCCACCCATCCCTTCCAGCATTCAAAAGTAAACATCTGTCATTTGCTTTTAAAACAGCTTTATTATTACAGATCCTGATCTGGTGGTTCTAACTGTAAAGTGGGAAGTCTCAAAAGAATGTAAATACAGTGTAGATTTTTGATCTGCAAGGTAGGAAATACCCAGAGTTCAGATTGATTCTTCAGCAGATCACTGAATGGATAAAGAAAGAAATTTTAGTCCATGTGTGTATAATAAAGTGAACTGGCTTGAATGGAATCAGGATTAGTTATGAGGTACAAAAAGAACAGTTTGTTTGTTTAATTAATTAATTAAATGTATATGTTGCCTGATTCCCAGCTACACTGAACGATTGATAAAGAGGTGATGCAGTGGTATGTGACACTAACAAGCCTTCCATATTGCTTTTAGACAACATTAATGAGCAAGTTCAACTTTATAGGAAATGTATGGTTGCAATCAAAAATGGGACTTGGTTATGTAGGCTTTTATGCCTCATGTAGAGTATCACAATTTGTTTCTTCTATGAAATTATCATAGGAAGATGGAAATAACATCACAACCAAAGGTTCTGTTAGTCTTTAGTATCAACTATTGTTAAAGAGTGGAGCAGCTGGCTGTTTAGGGGAAGATTATCTTCTGCTCATCTTCAAATCCCTTTGGATAATTCACATTGGGGTCATCAACCAAGCAAAACGATTGTTTAAGCATGGATTACAAGCCAATGTAGGTTGGGGTTATACAACATACTAAAACTAGGAATAAAAACTGGAAAAAGACCTATGTTACTGCCTCTTCATATCTGACTCTAGGAGGCATCTCTGTTTCTTAGCCAAGGGAGCCAAACTTATCTCAGAGATGTTTATGTGGACATGTGACCAACATGAGTATAAATCAAGGCTCACAGAAAGCTGTTTCCTTCCCACCGAAGCGGTACTTATTTATCTACTCACATTTGCTTGCTTTTGAACTGCTAGGTGGGGCAGGAGCTGGGGTGAGTAAAGAGAGCTCATCCCCGTCATGTGGCATTTGGGTCTTGAACCCGGGATATCAGTTTTCCAGCTGACAGGCTCAGTGTCTTTAACCACTGAGCCAAGGCATCCCCTTGGCATACAAATACGTATTTCCTATAATAGCACAAATACCATGTAAGTCAACAAAAAGCATAATTTCTTTAAGGAATCACTGAAATATAGCAAGCATGCCTGCACCAGATCTAAAGCATCTTTCCAATCACTTTGCTACTGAATGTACATTCCTAAATTAAATCAAACAAACAATCACATGTTGTTAAGAAATCTAACAAAAGATACATCTATTTGCAAGCTATGTGGACCCTAAATATATCTTTCTAAGAGTCAACAGGTAAGGAGATTTTTACAAATTGTCAGACTCTTAACAATAAATGTTAGATACTTTTTGTATTTTTTTCTTACATCACTGAATTCCGGGCAAATGCATTATGATATCTAATGCCATTCTTTGTTTCTTTAATCTCCAACCCCATTACCTCAGGCCATTACCTCAGAAGCCACCAATCTTGTCAAGTAAGTATTCTTAAATTTGATTTAATTTTGGTTTTCCAGTTAATTCATTTTGATCAGTGTAGAAACCTTGCTGGAAGTTGGAATTTTCCGTATTCAGTCCTTGTCACTGATCTAGAAGGAAATAACTTACCCTCAGCAAACATATTCAATAGAAAAGAAATACAACTGAAGAGTAGGATGGCAATGTTGCAGCACTGGCTCTTTCATTAGTAGTCTACATAGATAGACACTATATTCATGGTAGCCTACAAATAACATTCTCTTTCTTAGGGTCTCCAGAACCTGCAAGCCACACTATACGCACTCGAAGTAATAGCCTTCAAGCAGAACAGGTATAAATGTGATATAAAGTTTTTTTTAAATATGGGAGAGGGGACTAGATGTCACCAAATTTTGATCAAAATTTAATGAGCTATCCTTTGGGTAATTCACAAGTTCTTCATAAATAATAAATGCTCATTTTAATATTTTTCTATCAAAAGAATGTTTATAAAAATCACATATTTACATTACAGATTTTGTGATTAAATCTATACAAAGGCTAATTTAATATTTACATATCTATACATCGTTCATAAATTATTCACATCCTGTGAAACTCTTCCTGATTAATATACAATTTATTATTATTTTTTTAATTTAAAAAAGAGCATAGGAAATCTTTGGTTTTAGGGATATATAGATAGGAATGCCCTTTTTTTTTTAACAGGATGCTGGTGTTCTTGGTCAAGCATGGTACATGGCTTCTAGTGATCGGAAAATAGCTGAGGAGGCATTATATAGATCAAACAAGGTAAAAAGTATTTCCTTGAAAGTCACAGCTTCTAACAATTCTTCAGAAGCATAGGAGAGAATCTGAAACAAGATTATCAAACAGGCAGAAAGATATGAATTCCATTTTCCTCATACTATATAATTTGAATAACGCTGGACCTTTATTTCTGAGTGTTAAAAAACAACTTTATGCAGTTCTTAATAATGACAAGGAGGCAAAAAAATCACTGAAATATTATTAGTATAAATGTGAGGGAACCAGCTAAGTTTACAGAAGAAGAAAATGGTAGACTAAAGGAGGTGACTGGCTAAATTAAATAGAGAATGGGAATGCAATTAAATTGGTGGGCTGCTTAATAAAATATTTGGGACGACATATCCTTTAAGGAACAGGCAGATGTTCATTGTAAACTGGACTGTTTTAGTAATTATAAAGCTGGGGTCCACAGAAATTATCCTAGCATCCAGGCTGCTAGAACAGGTACGCTGTGGAATATTTCAAATTTGGACTGCTTACATACTTAATATTAGGTATTTCTTTAGACCCAAGGGCTCCATTAAAAAAATACTTGAAACAAAGGTCACTGTGAATCAAGAAAAATCCAATTTTGGGAACGTCTGCATTACTCTAAAAACCATTTCTTGATTTAAAGCTTTAATGTAAAGAATTGTTTCTTCTCCCAGGTAGAAATAAGCTTAGTAGCAGTAGAATCCCTGAAATCAATGCAGAAGGAATACAGTTCATATTCCTAGATAATCCTCTATGTACATCTAAAAAGATATATGGATCATTTGTGGACACAGGAGTAGGCCGTGAGATTGTAAAAGCCAAAAACTCCAGCCCAATGCTGGAGGGCTTTTCTTTTTCTTGATTAAGATGTCAGAAAGGGGGGGGGGAAATGATTCAGAAAATTGAAGTAACTCTATTTCTTCTCATTATTCCTTGAAATTCATATTTTTCACTTTTTTTTCAGGATGGGTCTTTCTTAGTAAGGAAGAGTTCTGGACAAGATTCAAAGCAACCATATACACTGGTTGTATTTTATAACAAAAGAGTATATAACATTCCAATCCGATTTATTGAATCTGAAAGACAATACGCTCTGGGTAGAGAAAAGACTGGTGAGGAGGTGGGTGATTTATTTTGGATTTTTATTCTAAATACATGCATGGAAAGTTGGTTTACACTGCTTAGAAATATGTTGATCATAAAAATGAACAGTAGCTTCTGGTGGCTCAGTGGCTAAGCCGCTGAGCTTGTCAATCAGAAAAATTGGCAGTTCGGCGGTTCGAATCCCTAGTACGCCGGTCTTCTGCGTGAGCAGGGGGTTGGACTAGATGACCTCCAAGGTCCCTTCCAACTCTGTAATTGTTCTTTACAGGTAGAGAGATTGTAGTTCAAGCGAGTCTTAACTAAAATGTGAATACAGTGTACCATTCTCTTTAACTATGAATCTGTTTTCTTTATTAAAGATTTCTCACTAGGAGCTTTTAGCGGTAGATATTCTTAAAGGGAGCAGAATTTAATCAGCACCAGACTACCTATACCAAGGGTGTCAAACTCGATCGCGTCAGGGTTTTTTTTTTTTTTTTTAATTTGATTTATATGCTGCCCTTCTCCGGAGACTCAGGGCAGCTTACAATGCGTTAAGCAATTTACCTGAAACAGTACTATATGGGTTATATTGCCTTAACACCTACATGTCCCATTATTTCACAAGAGAGCAGAAAATCCTACATGTCTCATTATTTAGAATTTGTTGTCAATTATGTTAAAGAGATGTACTTAAGTTACTTTAGGGTGCTGACATTAAAACTATTTAACCATTCCATTTTAATGGTAATGACAAAATAAAACCATATTTAGTACTAGGATTTTGTCTAAAAAAAAATGAGGCCAGCCTTGAGAGAAGTACTACTTGCAGTTTAGCTTACTCTACTCCTACTTTCCATTGGGAACAATTCACATACAAAAGTGCTAGAAAGTATTGAAATTAGAAGATGTAAATGCTGACTTCCCAAACAGAATTGTTTTGTTTAAAGCTACCAGAGTGGAAAAGAGCATTTAAATTTAAATTATGATTGTTGACCCATTCAGCAGGATTTGTGTCGAATAAACTATTTTTGTTTTTCCAATCCAGCACTTTGACAGTGTGGCAGAAATAATAGAGAATCATCAGCGGACTTCTCTCGTTCTCATTGACAGTCAAAACAATACAAAAGACTCCACCAGGCTAAAATATATTGCTAGAGTTTTGTAACTGCACCAAGGAGCATCATGGAGTATCTTCTAGCCCTTATTTTCCAAGGATTTGAGCATCTGAACAAACATGCACAACTATTGCTAGAAGAATTTTCTTCACACTTTCCAGCAAGCACCAGGCTGTGACAAAACTAGTGGATTCATTTGTGAAGTGCTGCTCCAGTCAGAAAGTGTCCAAAGCCTTTTTACATATAAAAGACATTACAAGGCAAAAAAAAATCTCAGTGGCAGACAAGCTATATTTAAAATTATACCTGCTAGCGTTTAATTGTCCTGCTAAACTTTGTATTTTTTAAAGCTAGGGTGTCTGTATTCCATGCAACCAGCTAAAAGCAGGATTTTTATTCCTCTGACAGCCATCTAAAATAACCAGAATGTCTATTTAGTGTAATGGACTGGTATGTGTTTTACCTGTATTTGTTGAAGCTATTGTCCAATTTTGATTTAAGTGTACATATATGAAAATAATTATGTATAATTTATCAAGATGCAGTCATGATCTGTTAAGAATTTATAATTCTTGCACAGTAAATACTTAACTATTTCTCAGCTGTTGCATGCTTCTGCAAAATGTTTCAGGACTGTTAAATACTCCGGCCACATGAACGTATCAAACAAGTATTCAATGTTTCTTGGGGGAGGGGGGAGGGGGGGCAAGATTATTTTTTTCCACTAGAAGACTCATTATGCACATTTGTGATTTGCATCCAGCAAGATGTTATTTTTGAAGCTTTTCAAAACAAGAAATGGGAACCTGAATTTTATGACTCCTGGGAAATTTAAACTGGACAGTTAAGCTATAAAACTTAGGTGCATGTATCAGCTTGGTTTCCCATTAATTTTAATAAGGGTACTTGCTGCATTCCAAATTCTACCATTTGTTTAGAACTGCAACAGATTAACTGGTTTAGTATCTCAGTCAAATAATACTAACTAGTTTAGTATCTCAGTCAAATAATAGTCTTCAATTTTTATGACTGCAATTGGGACCAGAAATTTCAGTCAATAATTGAATGTGATCGTTAAGCGAGTTATTACATGACTAGACCTGATCTTATGACCCTAGCCTTTAAGTACATCAGTCATTAAGAAAACCTGACTACCCCAATTTACTTAGCTTGTCTGGAAGCCACCTGGGAAGGTTGCAATCACAATCATGTGATCACAGGATGATGTAACTAATGCAAATCAATGGCCAAGTGCCCAAATTACAATCACATGACCATGGGAGATGGTGCAAAGTTTATAACTTCAAGGATGCTCATAAATAACTTTTTCCAAGGCCATCATAACTTCAAACTGTAGTTAAACAATTGTAAGTTGAGGACTACTTGCATTGAATACTTATTTAATAACAGTACTAGTACTGGGCATACTACGTGTAAACATTAAGATAGAATTTTACATTTTTGTTCCCAAATAAGCAATGTTTTACTGTTCACTCGTGGGAAATCTACATCCAGTTTCACTTAAGTTTTCATTATGTTTTACAATTTTTTTTCTTTCCAAATAATACATTACAAAATGTTGCATTGGGATTCTGATTTAATTAGAACACAGTAAAATGATAAATAAACCCAATTTCTTTTTAAAGATGGCGAAGATGGGTGTCCCTCCAATTAGTTTGATATGCTTCAATAATTTAGTGGTAAATTTAGCGGTAAAAGGAAACCAGGCAGCCATAGAACATAGTGACTGGACATTATGAAAGCTGACACCAGCCAGAGGACAGAACAACTCAAAGTAGCACAAGATCAGAAGAGGTGGAGAGACCTGGCCCATACAATTGCCAAGAGCTGGACGTGATTGAAAGGATATCATCATTTCAACAATATCACCCATTTAACTTTATGTCTGATTTTTGTCACAGGTTTGCAGCTAACATCCAAATATATTTAAATTAGCCATACATATTTATCCAGCACTCATTTGTCACCTTGTTTAAAGAATTAGTAAAGAAATGGGTTTGTTTCCAGTCTCAGTACACATATTTAGAGATTATTCCAGCTGAACACAACATAATCTTAAAAAAGAATGCTACTTAATTGCACCAACACTTGGAAGAATCTATTTTACCCAAAATGTTAAGAAAAAAATAAAATTTATTTTTGTGCCATATAGCAGGATTAAAAATATCAGTATTACAAGAAAATGAGGGGCAAAATTACTCTGATCTTACATACTCAAGCAGTATGACATGCAGTACTGTAGCAAAGGCTAGGCCCCGCATAAGTACTTAAGCCATGTTAGAAGCATACATATGTGCATGTTTACATGCTTGGCAGCAGTCTGAAAATTTAATTTTGCAAACAAGTTGAAACTTGATCTAAATACATGGTTGAACCTTCTGTCTTAATGTTTTCTTTTTATAAATAGAGAATATAAGTGAAATGTCTAGATATGCAGGTGTTTAATTATCTTGATACAATTGCTCCTATTTAAAATAATATTTAAGTTGTTTAGTACCAGGAAAGTCAGCTCAAGTAACAAAACAACCAAGACTTTTTACCAGCAAGTTAATTCCTTGACATTAATAAACACCTGTGCTTTATTTAATGTTTAAATTATTCAATACAATTATAGAGTAATATATCTATATAACAAATTTATTAACAAGAAATATGTGCAGGGAAAATTTTAAGAGGTAATCCTGAATTGTAATTCATTTCAAAACACATCACTTTAATATCAAATTATTCACTTTCTTAAGAGGGGTTAATATATTATTTCTATCAACATACAGGTTAACAGTACCCAGCACCTGTTTGGACCTGACTTAAATCTCAAGTTAGTAGAAAATTTTAAGAAATATCTATTCCCTTATCCATCATTTTACATGAGAAAGAAGGAACCATCTACATTATTGTTCAGTGTATTCTTCTCACTTGAAAACTGTGTGTATATAATACAAAGTTGAAAACTTTTAATTTGGCAGGTCTGCACTACAGCAGATATTTTTTGTTATTCCTTAGTGAGAGAAAGATTATGTTTCTAGGTAAAAGTACCTAAACAGACCAGAATTATGCAATGGCATCCCCCACCCCACAAAAATGTTTGCCATCTGTAGGCCTTCCAAAAGCCAGTAGATTATGTAGAGGTAAAGGGTCAAGAGAAACCTAAGATGATTTATGAAATCATCTATGTATACTTTCAGTACAAAGGGGAAAAAACTGCCTGACAAAATCTTCAATCAACCTGAGACAAATATTTTGTCTAAATAATAAACTATGGTCCAAGCAAGAGATTTTTCAATGAAATTCAAATACTCTTTAACAGAAGTTTGCGAAACATCAATGTTTCATATCCTAACTGAAGGTGTTCTGTTAAAAGGAACTCTTTCCAAAATATAACAACAGAGAAAATCACATTCTGCTTTCTAGCATGACCATGATCACAATTATAAGACTGTCTTTTACATGTATTTGGTTGCTAAATTATGAAATCAGATTCTTAATAAAATGTAATACCAATATTGTAGGGATGACAAATTTGTTCACTTGGAATTCAGCAGTACTGTTATACAAACAGGGAATACATTTTTTTCAACAGTTATCTTCATCAGGCATAAACACAGTAATAAGTTTATTGATTTGTATGAAAAAATACTTCACTAAGAAAGTAGACAAACTGCACAGAAATAGTACAAGTGTCATGTGCATAGCAATATAGCTTAAAGCATTCACATATGGCTTTGTTTTAAAAGAAACTGTTAGGAAACCTGGTCCTATATAGACCTATGGTTATACAGTTGACAGAAAGTAAACTGCTTCACATCTTTTAGGCACTTGCTAACAACAGTGATCAATCCCTGGAAAAAAAAATCTTCAAAAGATCAAGGAAAAATACGGCAATAGCTGTGGATAGCTGAAAACCCTTTTAGTAGTGCATGCACAGAGCTGGAAAATACAATTCCTGTGCAAGATTTTGTAGCAAATAACCAAAGTATAAAAATATGTACACGCTTTCATGTTTAAATATATACAAGACAGAAAAGCCCTGAATTTCATTCTCCAATTACAAATATATGCCATGATAGTAGTAACAAACACAAATTAAACTGCAATAGCAACTACTTAATTAAAATTTATACAGATCCATTTTAGGTGCTAACATGAAACTTGATTTAAAAAACATAATTTGAATGTGTTCCTGGATGCTATCAACCAAAATAATTTGCAGTCAGAGGAACATGATTTTGTATTCTTTAATAAGTTATTCTAATGAATTCCAGTCTCTAGTGGCTTCCATTAGATGGCGCTGTCCATGCCCTACCCAATTGTCCTGATTGTCAAATATCCTCCCACAAAACCAGCAGCTAAATTTAGTTTTCAGCGTATTATCAGAGGTAGTTTTCACAATCTGATAATTATTTTTGCTAGTCTTCTTCAGTGTTAATTTTAAAACAAATCTTTCTTTTACAGGACTTACAGGTTTTAGCATTTTGTGTTTTCTTTGAGTCAGTTCATTAGTAATTAAGTACAAACTGTTGCTATATGCTGGCTCCAAAAGAGCATCTATTGTTCTCTTCGATAAAGCGACCTTTAGAACATGTCCTTTAAACTTTGCAATAGTTTTCATAACATTTACAACTTCAGGAACATCGGCATCAGGGTGGTTTAGTACAACAACAGGCTGATTTCTCCGAGGGCATTTGACAAGTTGCTTAGAATGAAAAGGAAGTAAATTTAAAATCCTTATAGTATCTTTTGATGCTCTTGGTCTATAAGGGGTTTGAAACAAGGATTCAAATTCATTCACGTCTACTTGATTTTTTTCTTTGCACTTTCGATGCAATGTTTTCTTTCTAGGAGGTCCCTGAAAGTCATCGTTAGCTTTCCGTTTCAAGTTCTTATTCTTCTGTGAAACTGTAGCATTAGAAGCTTTAGCATCATTTTGCTTTGAATGACGCTTAACCTTTGACATTTGTGTTGACATATTCTGGGTTGCTCTTTGATTTTCAAACCCGCTTCCTTTGTTAGTAGTTTCTTTTTGAGTTAAATCAGATGGGATCTTTTGTGACCACGTCTTTCCAACTCTAGAGGAATGTACTAGTTCTACAGAGGAGCAAGAATCTTTTGATTTCTCACTTGCTGAACAAGCATTTGCTGGCATCAATCTACCTGATAAGGATAAGGCATTGCTAGAAGGTTGAGCTGTATTTTTCTGATTTAGTGCAGGACTATTGCAACACTTCATATTTTTCAATTGCAAAGGTGAGAAAATGTTGCTAACTGGTTGGCATTTGTCTGCAGCAGGAAAAGTCTTAATTTTCAAAAAAAGTTTTTGTTGCATTGCTCCATGTTTCTTTGGTTCGGAACTTTGACTATAAGTAGGACTTTGAAAAATATTATGGTTTTGTACAAGAGATTTGTTCGATGACATACACTTAAGAAAAACTGCTTGTCTGCCATTGGGCAAAAGTGCATACACAGGTTGTTCCTGTCCAACCTCTGGCTGTTTTACTGACTTTGCACAAGCAGCCTTACTGCCTTGAAATCCAGCAAGTATTTTCATGGAAGAAAGTCTGCTCTCTGGATTTGTAAT